TGTGTGTGTGCGTGTGCGTGTGTGTGTGTGTGTGTGTCTCCCTCTCTCACGCTACCTCCCCAGCACCCTATCTGCCAATCATCAACAAGGCAATTGAAAGGCATGGCTTATCCCACATGAACCACCAGCCTAATCTAAATCCTGATCGCCCTTAAGATAGACATAAAACCTGAGATACTTCAGACTGCATACACACGAACGAACTGCAGCAACAGTTACATGAACTGATGAATGAAGTAACACGGGCGGTAACTGTAAATGTAAGCCACACACACACATAATACGTGTGCCTCCACGACAGCCCGCCCCTGCCTGCCATCCATCTCTTCAACAAGGCGATTGACGGCCCCCAGCCCGAGTCCCCGTCAAGCTTTATGGGCATTTGATGGGGAAACTACTCACTTGTTCCCCACTAAAACGCGCCGCTTCATAATGATGCGCGCTGGCGATGTGTTTACACACAGTCAGGAGCGCTTCCGCACAGTTTGGTTTATGGGGGCAGCTTGACGGCGGAGACCATGTCGGCTCTTCCCTCCCTCCCCCCCCTTTCCGCCCTCGCTTTCCTCGCCGGCTTCCCTGTTCTCTTGATGTCTTCGGCAGGTTCTCAGTGCGCGTAACTGTTACGATACGCGGTTCAGCGGGGAAACGTTTTTGTTTGTAAACATCAATCTTGATCTGATGGAAGAGAAAACGATGCGATGTAGACTCTATTCTTAAAAGAGCTGTGTCATTCATACCCTCCCCTTCCCTTTTCTACCCCCCCACACACACACACATGCACACTTTGCCTGTTTTCCTAATTTTAGTAATCATTGTCTAAATTTCCCTTTTTATTTTTATAATGTCTCCTGAAGATTCAACTTCACTTTTGCAATAGCTACCCTGGGAAGAAACTGTTTTTGTCCTCACAAATGGAAACAGTTAAACTGCTTCAATTTGTCAATTTGATGCCGCCTACGAGTAGGCTACATGAAACCAAGAAAAATAATTTGTTTAACTCAATGCCAGAAATCTTCAAAACTTGATGGATTTATTGTTCCCTGAAGCTCTATAAAAAGGTATCTCTCAGAACATGGGTTGTTCAGATAGTTTTTAAAAACGTAAGAGTCTATCTCGTCCTATCATTAAAAGGAAAAAAACAATTGATAAGTGTTTTACGGCACATGCAACTGCATAAGGTCTATGAACGCGTCGTCCTATCAGTGTTGGACATAATTTCTTTGGGTAGACCGTTTTCAAAACTGTTTCAACGTCTTTCGTCTTCGATTTCCTCCCGCTGAAGCTGTCCGATATTTGATACATTTTCCTGTTAGTCTCAACCACCCAAAAGTTTAAATCTCCCTGTATGTGTAGTTCTCTCTGAGTTCAGAAATATGGAAACACATTTATTGTGTGTATTTGTTTATGGCAAATGGTTGATCGGGGACTACTAGATGGCAAAGCGCTGAAATCCTACACATAAGATGGAATGCTTATATTTTTGTATTATTAAGTAGGACATACGTTAAATTTTAAAAGAAAAAGGCGGCTTAGGTAAAATTAAGTTATTGGGAAGTGGTTTTTTTCTTCTTTCGTTGCTTTTGCTAAATTAAGTTTTGTTGGGTTTTTTTGGACAACAAAAAAAAAAAAAAAGAAGGAAAACCCAGCATAATAATAATATAATGCTTTGTGTATATGTTGGGGTGGGAGGGGGGGGGTGTTATGTCATTAAAAATTATTTTTTTAAA